GGTCGCCCACTGCCTCTTCAGTCAAATCTATCCTCACGTTTCACATCGCAGAGGGTATGTGACTCTGTTCTCGTCCATAGCCGCGATCTACTCAATCCCGTTGGAGGTTCGGCGATGACTGAACAAAAACTACAATCTTCTCCTTGAAGCTCAATCTGTTCAGACGGCGGTGAGCGAGTATCACTGAGGGCCTTTTTGCAGTCTTGCCGACTGCTTGCGAACTGCGCTGAAAATGCCGTTAGGGTTTTCTGACATGCTCGTACAACAACTTCAAACCAACCCATTCCAGTTGAATATAACTGAGCGGGACGAAGTGTCCGAAAGTGGGGCTCCAGTGTGCACTAGTTTTAACTGCACACATCCTAAGGCTCTGAATATTCTGGATAAAAGCACCAGAAAATAATCGAAAAACTCTCTATGATTTCTCCATAGATGCTGGCACCGAGTATGAATGACAACGGCGAAAATCCCAATGCGTTCCTGCTTCAGCACGGGACCAATGTCTTGACAGTCACATGCCACACATGTAGCGCAAGGCTTCGCTATCTTTTACCACCTCTTGTTCAGTAAGAAATTCGAAAAAAATGCTAGATAAATCGCAGCATGAGAAGAATCAGAAATGTAGCGCATTCATACCGCCACCTGCCAGTATTGCGTGCTAACTTACTTACTTATATTAGGTCGGTCCATAATTTTTGAGAACCTTTGGTGTTTTTCGATTCAATTACTTATCTTATTTCTCTGATGTACTTATTCAGCATAGTATACATCACCATTATTACCAACATATAACCAATGCGAGGGTGGGTATTCAGTGTCTCTCTTGTAGAATTTCATAGAGTTCTGATCGAAGAAATGGATGTCGATTTTGACTTTATGGGTTTCAAGTGAGATTCTTCAGAAGAGTGATTGAAGAGAGGAGAGCGGATAGTCGTTCGTTGACGCAGGATTAGTGCTATAAGGCGGAGCTAAAAGAACTGACCGCCCGAGAGTCTCCAATTTTTTAGGAATTTTCTTAGCAAGGCGGGCTCGAACGACCTCAGAGAAAAATAGATTTTGTCTTCCTTTGCTTTCAAGTTGAAGGCGTTGCCATCAAGCTGTCAACGATTCTTCCCATCACTGACACTGGTATTAGTTGATGCCGGTCTTCAGCGCAAAGGCCCTCCCGTATTGCGCCAACGACTCAGGAAGTTCGAATTCAGAGGGAGTTGGGTTTGTACTGTCAGAACTCCCGAATCATTTGAGCAAATCTACTGCGGCTCGTGGATTTGTTAGCACATTGCACCCAGTCCACATCACCAATGAGTATTATAGATGGTCATCCGAAGGAACTACGTGGGGTGGCCAAAAAAAAGAGACACTTGACTCCACATTTCAGACAGCATTAATCACACTTTGCTAGAATCAAATCGACTGCCCCCAACTCATTATTGAAGAGCACCTTCTAATCTATCTAAACCTTATACGACAGCCTTCTACACCGACGACATCAGAAGATTTTCCCACGGAAATATAGTTCGCGATACGAGCTCAACGGGGTCGTCGAGGTACCATGGACCATTACGACGTCCCTGAAACGATGGTCAAAAGTGGTTTTGCATAGTCACAGCTAATGTCTCGAGGAAGCTATTTAATCGTAAATCCATTGAAGAAATCGTGAAGTAGCTTCAGGCCTGGAGCGATACGGTAA